GGCTCTTGTTTCACTGTGAGGAAAGGGAAGCCTGTGTTGTTTGACCAAACGACAAATAGAACAATGCAAATTTTTATTGAATTTTATAGTAGGAACATATTTATGTAAGATAGACAATTTTGAAACGGGTACATGACCCAAACGGTAGTGTCACATATCAATCTGGCTATTGATATTGCTATTGTTTGATGAATTACAAGAAGTTCTGAGAGCTTTATTACAACGAAAATCAGAAATGGGATTGCAACTAGCATTAAGGGAGATAACAGGTTTGATAGAAGGTGAAATGATCTTGAAAGTTTTCTTGAATGATTTTCCACTGGATTGATGATCAGGTAACTGGAAATGATATAGGACATTCTCAAGTCTGCCTTCCCTAATCGTCTTCCATGTCAAAAGATCCTGTATAAAATAAGAATTATTCATGAAGATTAGGAGGCAATTATGTCTGCAAACTAAGTTACTGACTGATATGAGATTGAATGTAAAGGGTGGCACCACAAGAACGTTTGTCAACATCAATTCATCAGACAATCTTACTGTGCCAACACTTGTTACAGCAACCTGATCTCCATTTGGAAGTCTAACAGAGGCATTAGATTGAGCTGTGACACAGGTTAGATACTAAATGGAGTAAACCATATGTTCAGATGCTCCAGTATCTAAGATCTACTTAATTACAGTGATAACACCACTGTGATTCATATGTTTACCTGAAAAAATAGAGTTTGCTGATGAGACCAGTGGCAGGTCTTGTAGTTTAGAGGTGTTAGTGGATAATTGCAATCTCAATTGTTGAACTAGCATGGCCAAAAGTCGTTGACGTTGTTCTGAAGTGATAGTCACGTTTGGCTAGAGTTAACACTCTAATTTTGCTACCAACAGAAGCTTGAGTAACGGCATTAACCATAGGCATCTTCCCTCTGGCAAAATGATAACCTGGAGGATAGCCTATGATCTTGAAACATTTGCTTTTGAAATGTCCAGGCATGCCACAATAACTACATATAGGTCTATCTCTTCTCT